CCCCGGTTGGCCCTGGCAGGCATGGATGGAAGACCCCCGCCTAAATTATCTAAATTGTATCGAATTGTAAACAAAAACGCTTACATAAAAAAGATAAGTCCTCTGAATTACACGTTTATCTTGGTCCTAATATAGCTCTGATTAAGGTGGGTGGTTGGCGGGTGCTCTGGTGTGGTTTGCTACTTCTTTCCTATCAAATATCTGTCGTCCTTATCTCCCCTCCTTCTTTTTTGTGTATGTTACTCTCTTGTAACACATAATCTCTTCTTCGGCACTTATATGACCTTATTGTGTTGCAAGTGCCGTAAAACTCTTACTAAAAGTAAAAGCTCTGATTAAGAAATGAATCCTCGTATATACCACTCAGGCTACAGAGCGTTTGTCCACTCGCTGGTAAAGAATGAGGCTGCAAGTCTTCCCAGAGGCGTGTTCTTCTCCTCTCTGCGGAGACAGTCCGTAGCCGCCAGCAAAGGGAAGTCAATCGAAGCGATCCCCGCCTTCCTGACGCAGCAGTACGACAAGTGCAAGCAGCCTGGATTGAGGCCTGGATTAGCAGGTACGAAACTAAGCCAGGGAGAAGATTATGTTGTATTTTGCGGGACTTTTACGGGGTTTCATTTTTCGCCTTGAGCCTTAGTCGACAAGAAAGTTGAGATACCAAGAACAACCGTACAAGGTTCGTTTCGATTAGATGAAACTTCTTTAGGCGCGTGAAATTATTGTTCCACGAACTTCTCGTTGCCTTTCTTACTGCTTCTCGTCTTTCCTTTTTTGTGACAGAAAGTTTTGCCTTTGCAGAGCGAGCACTTTTAAATAATGAGCAAGGGAATCTGTACATATAGAACCCCCCCCCCATACCCCTCTTCTGTTCGGGATTTGTCTTTTTAGAAGGTGTGGAAGCTTAAGACATTTTCTCTGTGTCAAAAGGAAGTTCTCTCGTCTAACAGAAACCCATGGATAAAATAACCATGCCCGTTGAAAGCTGAGGGAGAGAAAAATGAAAGCCAGTGGTGTAGGTCATACCCCGCCCTATCAAATCAGTGAGGTGTAGATCTACTGCATCACGTGCCCAGCTAGACCATGCTTGATAGCCGTAATGAGTAAATAATTAAAGATTTTCAACGGCTAATCGTTACTTCACGAGTATAGTAAAATGGAAAAAGACAGATTCAAAGAAAGATGAGAAGTTACAAATGGAGGATTTTCCCCAAAAAAGTTTTGAACATCAACTTGTTTTTTATAAATCTGCTTTTTTTCTTTTGTTTTGGTTTTGGCTTTGGTTTTGTTTGTTTGTCGTTTTTGTTGTTGTTGTTGTTGCTTAGTTGTTATTTTTTCCTTTCCTGAAAACTATAACCAGCAAACGGTGATTTACACCTTTGTCAACTGTTGAGGAGTATGTAAAATCACGATTTCGTTTCTATTTAGTATAATCCCTTTGCGTGTTCAAGATCCCATAAGAGGAAGATAAGAAATGGGAAGGAAAGGAATTGAATGGGGTTAGGGACGGGTAAGGGAATGGAAGAGAGGATGCTCTCTCTCTCTCTCTCTCTCTCTCTCTCTCTCTCTCTCTCTCTCTCTCTCCCTCTCTCTCTCTTTTTTCTCTCTCTCTCTCTCTTTCTCTCTCTCTCTCTCTCTCTCTCTCTCTGTCTCTCTCTCCTTCTCTTTCCTTGTCTGACCATTTATTTTCCAATCTCTCCCCCTCTATCTCTCTTTCTCTGCCCCACCCTCTCGATATCTTTCTCTTTTTTCTGGAACCCTTTACTTTCTTGGTGTGCAGCGAACTAAGTTGATATCATCTGAACTTCCTTGCGTATGATCGTGTTTTGAATTTCCAACCGGACGTGCTTGAACTGGTTAAAGAGGAGTTTTTCACGGCTATTCGCCTTCTCCGGTCGGAGATGAACGTTAAAGTCTGTGACATGTAGATGGCTTTTCCAGTATTTATTGCTGCTGTGGCCATTCAACTCCACTATGCAAGATTCACGATTCTTTTTCGCTATTCACAGCTGTTCGAAGAATTGCAGGTCCATGTGATTTTTACGGACGTTACATTTTCGTTTCATTTTTCTCAACAAGTCCTAAAATTAGAGCATACTATATCTAAAATCATTGAGGTAAATATAGCAATATTTACTGGTTGGTTACGATTCAGGGTGATAAGTAAATCCGTAAAGAATATTGAACTGCTAATGTTCTGATTGACTTGTACATATGTTTTTAAAAAGAACAACTATTTGCAAACGGTTTTTGAATAGCACGAATAGTCACTTGACGTTTCGAAGGTCGATGAGATCGATGTTTCCTCGAAATCGCACAGCACTGGTGTTTATAGAGGCGTTAATCCCATACTGTGGCTCTTTTCTCTCTAGGTGTGCTCTCCTTGTCTCACCCCCACGATGCACTCATTATTTCTCTATCGTCAGTGTCGTTCTGGGTGTCCTAGTTTCTGTTCAGTCATTCTAATTCCAAGCCTGATCTAATGATGGAGCTCTGACCTGCTATATTTTGAGATCTGTTTATTGCTAACCGCCTTCTTGGCTTGGGCCTATCAGGTGTGGACGTTGGAACGGTGTACCTGACTTTTCGACACCCTTAGTACTTCTATGAGATCTCATAAACTATTTCTGACTAAGGTTCTAGATTGTGCTAAATGTACCTCGTTCGTAAATACCTTTATTGTCCAGGCCTCCCAAGGGTATGTTCTACTTACTTTTTACTAGCTGTCTTGTTTCTGTCTGTCTGTCTGTCTAGCTTCTCTCCCGCAGTATGTGACCGTTATTGAATCGATGTTTTATCTTTGCTCAACCAACTCAATTAAAGAAGCAGGCTGGGTCTAGAGCCCAGAGAGAGGGTGGGGGGGGGTCACAGTTATTTTGTGTATCATGGCCCGAAGATCTGGAATAATTTACCCAGTAGTTTGAAAGAGATCAAATCTTTTTATTCATTCAAATGCTAGCTGAATTCATTTCTGTGCTTAGATCAGTTATATTTATATAAAGATTTTTATTCAGAAAACAGTGTACTATATGTTGCTGCTGTATTTGTAT